TTGAGCCCATTGCTACAGTCACCTATCAATCCATCGTGTTGAGGATCTACTTTTCTCCTCTGATCCTCCACTTCTCTCAGCATTTCATAGGGTCGCTATGAGTGGTCTATGACTTAATTCCTAGACCAGCCCTCTAAATGTGTCAAGCAGTTCCAGCTTAGTAGTTCATATCATTGGTTACAGAGACAGACTACCTAGATTCAAGGAGCTCTGGTAGTATAGTCTATTGGCATTTGTACTGCTAACCCAAAGGCTGAGCCTTTTGGACAGTTCAGTCCACCAGAGACTCTGAGGGAGAAAGGAGGACAATTTCTTCCTTTACAGCCTTGGAAGTCCAATGGATGGTCAGTTCCATTGTTTCCAACTCTATGGCAATAATTTGATAAACTACATTAACCTCACAGTTTCAAAATCTGGAAAGGGGATAATACTAATCACCAATAGGATAATTTTGAAGATTAAATGCATACTTCATAATCAGTTCATCTCCAAACTACTGTGTCAATCATTTCATAATTTATGTATGATTTAAGCAAACTTTGTCATCACCTCTAGTCTTGCTCATTTAACACATTCTGTTGAGGGTGGAGGGAATGCTGGTGCCATAGTCCATACAGAGTTGGACTGCTAACCCAAAAGGCAGCCATCTTCATGGGAAGATAGGCAATCTCTTCTTTGCAATTTACAGCACCCTGAAAACCCAATTGAGGGTCACTTATAAGTCAGTTACAACACAAAGATTCTTAACTCGGAGTCCATAGAACTTCTTAGAAGAGCCAAGAAGCTAATTAGCTGCAGAAATACATCATCCAAGAGACTGGACTTTATGAAGAGGAATGTGGCATGCAGATTGGAGGAAAACTAATCAACAACCTGTGATAGGCAGATGACACAACCCTGCTTGCTGAAACTGAAGAGAACCTAAGGCATCTGCTGAAAAAGATCGAGGACTACAGCCTTCAATGTGGTTTGAAGCTGTACATCAAGAAAACAACGATTCTCACCACCGGGTCAATGGACAGCATCATGAATAGACAGTAATGAGATACAGATTGTTATGAGATTCAGGTTGTTAACAGCTTCAGCTTACTTGGCTCTACAGTCAACACTCTTGGTACCTACCAGCAACCAGGAAATCAAAAGATTAATTACATTGGGAAAGTCTGCTGTCAAGGACTTCTCCAGAGTACTGAGGAACAACATTGTCAGTCTAGAGACAGAGATGCACCTAATCCAGGCCATGGTCTTCACAATTACTTGTTATGCTCCAGAGAGTTGGACAATGACTAAGAATGAAAGAAGAACAAATACCTTTAAGTTGTGGTGCTAGAGAAGAGTCTTGAACATACCATTGACTACCAAGAGAACAATCAGATGTATCCTGGGGAGGGTGAAACCAAGCTGCTCCTTCGAGGCAAGGGTTTTGAAGCTCCATCTCATATACTTTGGGCATGTTGCCAGAAGGGACTAGTCCTTAGAGAAGGACATCATGCTTAGAAGGGTGGAGAAGGCAGCACAGGAGAGGAAGACCCTGGAGGAGATCACTTGACTCAGTGACTGAGATAATGGGGGTAGTTGTTTCAGAGACATTGAAATTGGCTCAAGATACAGCAGTGTGTAAGGAGAATTTATGTATTTTTCCCTTTCTGACCTCTAATTGAGATGTAACATTTCCCCAAAAAAGAAGGAATGTATGTAGGCAACCACCCATAATAGCATGATGGGGCTTATGGTTTTTTGTTGGTTTTTTTTTTTGCCATTGAGTAGATTTTTATTCATAGTGACCCTCTGTTATTTTTCCAAGGCTATAAATTTTTTTTTAATTTAGGTTGTTTATTTTTCATTTCAATGAACATCTACAGAGATTTTGGGATTCCATTCATTCATTGTTGCACCCTTCTCCCCGCACAAACCCCTCCCCCCTCCCCCCCCATTTGCTCCTCTCCTTGAAAAGCAAAAGAAAAACTCCCTCATTGGTACACAATGCCCCCCCGCACCTTCCCAAACCCCACCCCCTACCCCCAAATATAATCTACTCTGCAACGTGGTATATTCGCACAATGGAATACTATGCTGCATTGAAAAACAAGGAACTCATGCAGTATTATTCAAAATGGGTGAACCTGGAGGACATTATGCTGAGTGAGGTATCTCAGTCACAAAGGGACAAATGCTATATGGTGCCACTGTTGTAGAATGAGGCTGGCATTGGGGTGGGGGTAAGACTGAGAAAAACTGGGCTTATGGTTTTAAAACCAATAGGAATCACAAATGTTTTCATATGACATTTCACTCATTGCAAATACATCACATTTATGCTGATCAGCTGATTCAAAATTATGGTAGGTATTAGATCTACCACTAAATTTTATGATTTAAGGCACTAGTTAAGAAGCATATGGGTTGCTTCTAATACAATTTTAAACTCTTTATTTTCAAGATTGTTGTTTTTAGTACAATCCTTTGTAATGATGTTATACACACCAGACTTCATGGCCTGAGCAGTATCTTTCTTTCTGAATCTTTCTTCCATCATATCCTTGTTCTGGGTCCTAAACTGTATCAGTAGCACATTTATAAGTCATTGATATCTTGAACCTTATGATATCTCCCATTCTTATTTTTTAGTTTAGTGAAATTCACAAAGAGATTGGGTTTTCATTCATTCATGTATGTACATTTTCCTCTTTTCCCCTCCTAATTCACTTTGTAATGCTTGTACTGTTCGAGGCTGTTAATTGTTGTTATGTGCCGTCGAGTCACCTGCGACTCATAGGGACCCTGTGTACAACAACCCTAACCCTTGTTCTAACCTGTGCCAATCTTACTGTTTCTGACACACCTACCCATATTATTCCAGTTACTAAATCAATCCATCTCATCTAGGGTCTTCCTTCTTCTCTTGCACTGTCACTCCACCCTCCTAAGAGTGACGCCCCTCTCCAAGGACTGGTCTCTCCTTGCAACATGTCCAAAGTATGCCAGACAAAGATTCAGAATCCTTGCCTCCAAGGAGCAGCCTGGTCTCACTCTCTCCAGGACAACTGTACAGAGCCAGAAAGTAGTTCTGTGGTTGCCAAGAGTTAGAAGGAGAGAGGAATGGAAACTGCCTGCTGACGGGCAGGTGGTTTCCTCTGGTGGTGATGAAAATGCTTTGGAACTAGATCGGGGTGATGGCACAACATGGTGAGTGTACAAAACATCACTCAAGTGTACATTTAAAAATGGCTCCTTGTATGACATGTGAATTTTACTCCATTAAAAAGGGAGGGGAAACAAGGCACAAATTTAAGGATATAAAACCTTTGAAACATGAAAAAAAAAATAGGTGAAGAAACCTTGCTGAACAAGTGATGGTTAACTAGCAAAAAGGGAGGAGGGAGAAAAAGACAAATATGAATGAATGACTGATTAAAGAGAAAATATGTACTTTAAACAGTGCCTTTTCAAGGCCAGTGAGAAAGATAAGTGCTGGGCTTGCGGGAACACTGAATGCAGCTGGGACCTTTTAAAAGGTAGAGCCTATCACATAAACATACCTCCCACCACAGCACTAAATCTTAGTGTGAAAGACATCATTTGTTCTACAGAAAAGATTTTAAAGTATTTTTTCAAAACAGGCTTGTAAAAATTGTTACCTACTATGTCACTCATTATATGAAAAAAATACAATATAAAATTATATTTTCTGAGAGATATTTCTGGTATTATTTAGCCCTAGTAGGCAACAAATAAATAAATAAATAATTTTATAAAAAAAGCAGAGAAGATGTCCCACAAGTAGTTTTTCAAGACTAGTTTGGATCAGAAGCACTGGGCTTGCTTCAGTCTAATAGGTACAATTTCTACATAAAATATTTGAACATATTTTTAAAGATAAATTTGTATTTATTGTGCACAAATCTTTTATACTAAAAAAAGTCTCCACAAATTTCCAACTATATTCTTCTCAAAGATATTTTTCTGGTATTATTTACATCATTCCAAATACATACCATGAAACCATTTGCAAATTAATTATAATACTATTCATTATACAGCTATTATATGGGCAAAATGCCAAAACACTGACATCAAATTTGGGTGAAGACATTGAGCAACAAAATACAAAATGCTTCAGTTATTCTTGAAGACAGATTGACAGTATCTTACAAAACTGAACATAGGCTTACTATATTGTCTGCAATTACATTTCTAGGTATTTATGCAAATAAGTTGAAAACATATGTCCACACAAAAATCTGAACATCAGTAATTATAGCAGCTTAATAATTGCAAAAGTTTAGAGCTAGCAAGATATCTTTTAAAAGCTGAATGAATAAATGAACTATGTATACAATGGAGTATAATCCAACAGTAAGAGAAAATTAGCTATCAAGTCATGAAAAGACATGGAGAAAGCTTACATATAGATTGCTAAGTGAAAAACTGGTTTAAAAGTATTCAATACTGTACAATTCCAACTAGATGACATTTTTTTAAAAGGTAATACTGTAGAGACAATAGAAATATCAGAGATTTAGGGAGAGTAAGGAATGAAAAGAACAGAGGTGTTTTAGGGCAGTGAAACCATTACGGTAACAGGGTATTAAATCGAAGAGTATAACAGTAAAACACAAAGCATGAACTTGAATAGAACTTCTAGAATCTGTTGATAATGTATCAATACTGGTCCATTAATAGGGAAAAAAAGTAAGCGCAGATGATGTATTCATACCTGAAACTGTGAAAAAGGAGAGAAGGGTAATAGAACTTTCTGTACTATTATTCAGTTTTTTGTAAACCTATAATTGATCTTACAGGCTATTTATATTTTAAAACCAACAAATTTATTAAACCAAATAATAAACTTGTTTTTACAAACAACCCATAAGGTGGTACGATCCGTGTGTTTTGTGCATCTAATAAAATAAAAACATAAAACAAGGAAAAGTAATCGAAACCTTCAAAAATCTTGGGATTCAATGCTCTTTCGGTAAAAAGATTAAAACAGAAAAATATCAATTTGGAGTGCTTGCTGTATCTGTTTTCATTTTATCTTTCGAGCAGCTGATGATTATAGGTAGCTGATGTTGGGGTGGAGTTGTCTGGGTGGCTGCATCACACACGGACACTGAGCGTGGCAGAATTTTCACCCTTATTTGTTGCTGTGGCATGGAAGTAGTGTTGTGGATTGTCTGCTGAGGAAGGCTTTGTTCAGCACTCTGGGATGATACACCATCATGCTGTGCTTCTGAGAGTTTAATGACAATGGCTGGCTTTACAGGTAAGGCCTGTGCTACCACCCTTGATCCCTGTGCAGAGTCCTGTCCTCCTGTCTGTTGAGGAAGAGTTGTGGGACATTGAGAAGATTGTGGAGTGACCCGAGAGGACTGCTGCTCAGAGACGAGGAAGAGCTGACCGGCTGGAAGCCGTAACACAGAGGCAGGATCCGTACTGGAAGCCTTTTTAAAAATAATTGGAACACCTGCTTGAGAAACTACCTG